AATCAGATGTGTGTCTTTTCAATCACTTGCTATGCATCTGAGAGCTGGACAATGAATAAGGATGACAGGAAAAGAATTGACACCTTTCAGCTGTGGTGTTGGAGGAGAGCACTGAACATCCAGATGGCCAGAAGAACAGATATTTCTTGGAAAGTGTGCAGACAGAGTTTTTGGAGGTAAAAATGATGAGGCTTCGCCTCACATACTTTGAATACGTTGCTAGGAGGAGTTATTCCTTGGAGAAAGACATGAGGCTGAGAAGGTGGAGGGTCAACAAAGGAGAGGAAGACCTTAAACCAAGTAGATTGGCACAGTGACTGCTGCAATGGGCTTTTGTCTGCCAGGAAGTATGAGGATAGCGCAGGATAGAACAGGGTTCAGATCTTTTCTTCATAGGGTCATTATGAATCGTACTCGGCAGCACCTAACAACAACAACCAGAGGTGACAGAGAAAAAAAAGTGCCTTCCACTAGAGCTGGTGTTCTGGTTCACTTCTACAAGCGAACTTTCTGTTTGTTAAAGCGTGTAATATTTGCTACAGCAATGCAAGATGACTAAGATATAATCTATGATATTTCTTATTTCAATTGCTCCATTTAGTCATTTCTAGAATATAATTTTGTTGCTTTTACAACTTTGAAGGTTAGTTTTATAGATTTTCTTTCTCTATTTGTGATTATAATTTCTCACTTTGTTGTGTTATGTGACATTGAGTTAAATCCTACTCAGAATGTGTGTTCAGAGACTGGAAATTGCCTTTAGGGAGATAGCTCATCTTCTCTTGGTGCAGACAGTGGATTAGAACCATGTACTTTTGAGTTGGCAGCACAGCCCCTTTACCCACTAAGTCACCAGAGCTCCCTCGGTCCCATCTTATAGATGAGATTTATTTTTTCTTCTTCTTCTTCCTGTCTTCTGTACCAGCGCTGGTTCCTTTGTAGTTGCTGCTAGAGGTTGAGAATAAAGCATTCACACCTCGTTAACTCTTATTCTGAGGCTATCCTAACTCTACACATTCCCTAAAAGCATCTCGGGACTGCTAGGCGTACCATCCTTTGCCCCAGTTTTAGGTTTTATCTCTACAGACAGATTTACAACTGCCTCCAATCTCTTTAAGCTTTTCCTCACAGTTTTTAGGTGCTAATTCCTCATACTGGGGCTTCTCCCTCTCACATTTTTTTCATGTTGATTTCAATGAGGCACCTGGTAGTCTATGTTGTTGAACTGTCTGCTTCCATGTCTTTGTATAGAAGGTATCTCTACTGTCAGATATTACTTACAAATATGGCTCAGGTTTATGGCGTCAAAGAGATGATTTGAGAAGTGTTCCTGACTTATTCACAGACAGATTTCTTTCTGAAATAATATTTTTTTTGTTCTGTATTTTCTTTTTCATCTAGTGCACTTGCAGATGTGGCCATGGGGAAGAAAGTCCTGCACATTCCCTACAGAGATTCAATTCTGACCAAATTGCTTCAGTCAGCACTGGGGGGCAACAGCAGGACCACTTTGGTAAAGCCATTTTCTTAAAGCATCTTAGACTGGTTCAGCTATTACTATTAATATTGGTTTTAAAAAAGCAACTAAGACTGACAGAGCATTAACATAGCATATTCTACTTTTATTTTCTCTCTTTTTGTTTTAATGAACAAAAAAAAGATAAAATAAACATATAATGAACCTATATTGGCTTTTCATTCAATTGTTTATACTCATATTGATTTATATAATTAATTATAATTTACAAAGGTAATTAATTAAGTATAGACAATCTATTCTTGTGTATTTCCTCACCCAGTTTATCAGATTATTAACTTTTTTAAAATTTTTTTTATTTTATTACTTTTCTGTGCGTGTACCGTCAAATCAGATCTGACTGGTAAAGGAGGAGATTGTCCCTCCTTCCCCGGCAGAGCATCTGGTGGATTTGAACCATGCAGCTCTGGGATTGTAGTTGCAGCTCCTTACCACTAGGCCACCAGAGCTCCCCTCAGATTATTAACTTTTACTCCCTTTCCCCCCCTCTTCCTAGCCTGGTCAGCTTCCCAAGAATTCTGTGTAGAAATCTTGTCTTAGTTTTTTGTAGAAGTGGTTTTATTTTGTAATTGTCCTTTTGTGATTGAATTATGTCACTAAGCATAATTTGTTCTAGATTTGTACATGTTGTTCACTATTAAATGAATTCTTGATATTTTCTTTTAGTAATGCATCATATTCCAGAGTGTGGATGTACCTCAGTTTTTCACCCATTCATCTGTTAACAGACACTTAGGTTGTTTCCAACTCTTTGCTATTTTAAGTAATCCTACAATAATTATCAGTGTGCATGTGTCCACACTCTTATTTCTTTGTAATATATACTTAGTAGTGACACTGATGTCGAAAGTGGGGAGTGTTTCTATCTCTTTGTAAGGATGCACCAAACTGCTTTCCATAATTGTTGAACCATTTTACATCCCCACCAGCACATTCTACATAGTATCTCCTAGTGCTCTTGGGCAAGCCCATTGTCAGGAACCTCTCCATATGCTTAAAAGCAATTATGTCGGTTTGGAGACTGTGGTGCACCTCATTCAGGCCTTGGTATTCTTTTTTTAAAATTGATATTTTAATGAAAGTTTACAGAAAACTTGAATTTCCATTCACCCATTGTTGCACATTAATCTTCCTCCCTAACTGCCCCCCAGTTCTCTTTTTTCTTTAAAAAAATTCCTTCACTGTTGCACAATTTCCTCCCTCCCCTTTCCCTCCAGTCCACTTTGCTATGCACTTTTTATTCTGGACTATTGTCATGCAAATAATAACTAATCATATATTTCTTTTAAATAGTTCTTTCCCTCATCTATCTCAGGGCTGTGCTCATTATTTATCCCCTCTTTCCTTAGTTTCCCCCCAACCCCATGTCATCTTGTTTTATAACAGTGGGATTATGCAGTATTTGTCCTGTTGTGACTGAGATATTTCACTCAGCATAATGTCCTCCAGGGTCACCCATTTTGTATAATATTTTATTAATCCCTTGCTTTTCAGTGCTGCATAATATTCTATTATGTTAATATACCACAGCTTCTCTATCCATTAATTTGTTGGTAGAAGCTAAGTCCAAGTAGTGGACAGTGTTTGGTGGAGCTCCCAGATTAAAACAGGCTTGGAAAGAGGAATGGCATCCACTTCCAAAACAGCTTGCCTCTGGAAAGAAACTCTATGAACTTGGAGAAATGATGGAAGTTATACAAGTGTTCAGGCCTTTCATTCATAGGATCGCTATGAGTCATCTATGACTTGATGGCATTTAACAACCACAATAACGACAAGAGAGCTCTGTTGGCCTAGTGGACAGAAAGTTATGCTACCAAGCCAAAGGTGGGTGATTTTAATCTTCAGCCCTCAGGCCTGGTTTTAATTGTTTTTGGTCAAACTCTCTTCTAAGTGGCATAGCACTGGTCTGTCTATTTGCTGTACAGAGGTAACTCATGGTCTTTGTGATGCTAAAAGAACATGTAGAGCAGGGAAAACAACTGTTGCTTTCTTTCAAGCCAATAATGCAGAAATTCCTACATGGTTATGTTGATCTACACGTCAGTGCCTTGTATGCTCTACAGGTCCACCATTTCAACAGCAACTTCCCAAAAGACATGTTACTTCACTTTTTTCGTTTACTTTTATGACATGGAAATTATTGAAAAAGAAGCTTTTTTTGGCTTGGAAAGAAGATATAACTCAAGAGTTTCTGGGGAAAGGCAAGGTTTTGTTCCAGGTGAATCACTGGCTAAGCTGGCTAGAAACTGCTGAAGAAGAAGAAAGAGAGGAAGAAGCTGACTAAAGAACCAGCCAAAGCCTTAAATTGTGCAAAACATAATGTTGCTATGATGTAACTGCATTTGACCTAACCACTGTGAAGATTCATTCCACTGTAATGTTTTCACAATATTTAAAGCAGAAACACGGCAGTAGGATTTTCTTCTGTATAAGCTTTTTTGGTAGTGTGATGTCTTAATCATAGTCTACCATCAAAGGTAGGGTCGCTATGAGTCGCAAGCGACTCGACGGCACATAACAACAACAACCATCAAATATTTTAGGAGTGTCTTTAATATTTAGATAGTATATTTGTGGCATGAAATAATTACATCATAAATTCTCAAGCAAAAGCTGTCTATTGCAAGGACCTTCTTTGCTCCCAGTTAACATAAGCTATTTTAAGTTAGAAAACTGAATAGCAACACTGAACACTGTAGAAATGCACTTAGTTCAATAATACTTGAATTGTTGCAATATTTTATTATCCATTTGGTTGTGACAGAAATTCTTAATTTTAATTGATGATTGTTGCTGTAAAAGTATATTGCCTGTATTTCTACCTCTAGTAACGGGCTTTATGTGCTAGAATTTTAATACGCTTGAGCCTGGGCAAGTGCACAAGTCTTTTAAAAAGAAACATGTATTACTTGCACAAAACTGATTAGTTTTGAGAGATCGTTAACGCCCTTGAAGTGTTTTTTGTAGATGTGAAACAAATGATGAGAATTTTAACTTGTCCCTCTTATTATAGTACTGAAATTAAGTCTACTTAATTTATCAAGTCAGTTCATGCCCTGATTTTATCTACTTGTATCTATCAATAAACATTGTGATACTTGGGGGTGGGGTGGGGAAGAGAGACATCTAAGAAATGAAGAAAAAGACTCAAAATAAAAGACTGGGGAAAAAATACCAAGTATCCACAAAAAAGCAGGAGTGGCAATATTAATCTCTGATAAAATAGACTTTAGAATGAAAATCACCATACAAGATTAAAAAGGGCACTATACAATGATTAAAGTCACATCACAATAGATCCATAATAAAAGAAGAATTGAGCAGAGCATAAATAGATTCCCCTACAAAAAATGTCCTGGACTAGATGACTTCACAGCTAAATTCTACCAAACATTCAGAGA